TCAGCCTACTGTGGGGAGAAGGAGAGAAGCACGGGTCACCCAGGCCCCGGCTGGGACTTTTTTGCAGTCACCCCAGTGGGGTGTGCAGTGCTTATGTCCAAGAACATTTCTGGTGCTGGGCACCCAAGGGTCCCTCTGCAATGTGGTGCTTGTGGGCTTAAGGCTTAAACACGCCCTGTGATTGAAGAAGTGGCTTTGTTCAAAATAGGTTTGTGGGGCCAGCCCGGTGGTGCAGCGGTTACGTGCACACGTTCTGCTTCGGTGGCCTGGGGTTTGCTGGTTCAGATCCATGATGCGGGCATGGCACTGCTCAGCAAGCTATGCTGTAGCAGGCATCCCATATAGAAAGTGGAGGAAGATGGGCACGGATGTTAGCTCAGGGCCAATCTTCCTCAGCAAAAAGAGGATTGGCAGCAGATGTTAGCTCAGGGCTAATCTTCCTCAAAAAAATAAATAAATAAAATTTTAAAAAATCAAAATAGGTTTGCTGAGCATCTTTGATAACTTGAAGAAATGATTATATAAATCTTAACTGGAAGAAGTGGAATACAAAAAGTAATGCACTGTGTGTCTCCAATTATATAAAAATGTATTTTAAAAGACTGGAAGGAACTGTGAAACAATCGTGATAGTCTATGTGACAAGGTCATGGGTGATTTGGGTTTTTTTTTTTTAATACTTTTATAATTTCCAAGTTTTTCTTGCCATGGGCATGCATTATTTTTATGATATGGGAATAGACAACAAAAATGGAAACAAGAGGCGCTACAAATGATGCTGGTATGCAGGTGGCACCTGATGGAGTGAGGAAGGGAGAATGACTTAGGGCCCCTCGATTGCTCTCACTACACAAGCTGAATCCCAGTTTCCCCCACTGACCCCCTCGAAATGCCTTCCTCTTGCCTGCTGGCCTGATCCCCTTGTCCGGGGATTCTAAGCACCCTGGACAGATCTCTCTGCCTTCTGCTCATGGGCAGAGTAGTTTTGATAATTCCTTGATAAAATCATCATGTGAGATCCTCTCAAATCCTTCTCGCTTTGCTGTCTCCTCATAGTTTAAGCCCTTGGCTGACCTCCCCAGTACTGCAGAGACCACCCCCAAGCCAGGTCTATGCATAAACTCAAATTCCAGGACCCCCAAAAGCCCCAAAAGCTCACCATTAACTTCTCTTTTTAAAGACCTCTTAAGGAGGTGTTCATTTTAACGGGGTCAGGGCATTCTATCAGCCCTCTAACCCTGAGGCAAAGAATTAGTTCCTCTGATGAACTTGTTGCACCTGTACCCCAGCAGGGAGAAGCACCCAGAGTGGGTGAGACATGGCACACAGGTGAGGGTTCTGGAAAGAGGACAACACCAGGGCGAGTGCCAGCCTCAGCAAGTGGTGTAGTCTCTCCTGCCCAAAGCTCGAACTCTCTCCTCGCTGACTCACTGGTTAAATCAATACTTGCCTATTGATTGGGTATCTGGGCAGTGGAGCAGCAGGCAGTGGCTTGGGGGCACCTTCAGTCCTCCATCCAAAATCTTCTCCACTTTTCGATGTGTAATATTGACAGTTTTTCTCAATCTTATATGTAAAGTCCTTGCAAACACCATTTCGAGCCCCACCTTCTCCAATTAGACGATCGTTCCTAAGTACCCTCTTTGCAGAAGTTCCAGCTCCTCCTACTGATGCCTTAGGGGGGAAGTGAGGAGCCCAAGGTGATAGGGGGCCTGAGGGTAACCTCTGCTACCTGGCAACTTTTCTCGGCTTCTGGCTTTTCCCCTGGGGCATTGGAAATATGCCTTTTCCAGAGGGGCTCCTGGAGTAAAGAATGAGCCAGTCTCAGTGGAGATCTCTGTTTCCAAGGGTCAACCCCAGCCATTTCAGTGAAGCAGACTAGATGCTCTGATCACCCATCCCACCCCCTTTTATCCCCCACCCATGGCCTCTTACCTTACTGAGGTCAGTGAAGCAATAATCCTGCTGGAGGTCACACCGATGGTGGCAGAGATGCTGGTTCTCTAGAAAAGCAAAAGGGGATGACCCAGATTCTCAGCCCAAGTAAGCATCCTGTTGGCTCCCAGTCCAGAAGAGAGATCTCCAGAAAGAGACACCACAGCCAGATGTGGGACTATGGGTGAAAAGCAGCTACCTAAGGATTATGGACTGAGGATGAAGGATGTTGGTGGCTCCACAGGTGACTTTAAGAAAGGTGAGCTGAGGTTTCAGAGGTCTTCCTCTTAATGGAAGCATCGAGAAGGGGGAATAAGCCCAAACTAAAGACACAGAGCATTGAAATAGGGAGAGCTTCTGCCCAAAAGCATGACTGAGCTTTGGAGCAGGATACCAAGGGAAATTCAGAGAGTCCCCGAGCCCTACGGACATTTAAAGGCACCACCAACTGACAACTGTGTTTGAAGATGGAGCCTGGCCTGCGAGGGGTGGAGCTGAACCAGGGGACTGAATCTGGAGACCTTGTAAAGCCTGTCCCATCTATAATGGTTAGCTGTTCTACCTGAATCCACTTCCTCTTACCCGGAGGTGAGCTCTTACCTACAACTCTGAAGCGAGTGCTTGTGGCGACATCACTGAATAGCTCCACTTTGAAATATAATTGATGTCCCAGAGGCTTGTGGTGGGAGAAAGGGAAGACTATTTGTGTCACAGTCAAAGGACAGAAGGCTGGCTTCTGCTTCGGCATGGGCAAGGTCAGCATCAGTTTGAACAGTGACCAAGAAGTATTGAAGATGGACAAGGAAAGTCCTGTGGCAGAGCCCGCTATGTGTTTACCAAGACTCACTTCCTTTGTCACCTGGGCACCCAGCTGGACTACATTTCCCAGCCTCCTTTGCAATTAGGTGTGGCCAGGTGACTGAGTTCTGGCCAATAGAATGTAGGCCTAAATGATGTGTGTTGCTTCCACACCTTGTCTTGGATTTCCCAGCCTCCAGAACTGTGAGAAATAAATTTCTGTTGTTTAAGCCACCGAGTCTATGATATTTTGTTATGACAGCCCAAGCTGACTAAGACAGCCTGAAAAATATTGTACCACTCTCTTCTGGCCTCCATGGTTTCTGGTGAAAGACATGGTACCCGTGGAACAGTTTTCCCCCTACAGGTAAGGTCATTTTTTTCCTGGTTGCTTTCAAGATTTTTCCTTTGTCTTTAGTTTTTAGAAATTTAATTATTATGTGTCTTGGCATAGATTTCTTTGGGTTTATCCTGTTTGGAGTGTGCTCAGCTTCTTGAATCTGTAGATTTATGCCTCTTGCTAAATTTGGGAAGTTTTCAGCCTTTATTTCTTGGAACACTTTTTCAGCCTTCGCACTTTGCCCTCTCCTGAGACTCTGACGACATGAATGTTAGATCTTATGTTATAGTCCCACAGGTCACTGAGGCTCTTTTCTTTCTTTTTTCAGTCTATTTTTTCCTCTGTTGTTCAGATTGGGTAAGTTCTATTGTTTTGTCTTCTAGTTCACTTATATTTTTCTCTGTTCCACTGACATCACCCAAGCAGAGGTGTTGGGGCACCTTGTCACAACCTCATGAGAATGGAAGTCTAGGCTCCCCAATCAGCCTTGGCGATATGGGTGGGGTAAGGGCCACATTTTTTCTCTGATGTTTGGCTGCAGTAGAGCAGTTATTTCTAAAAGTTGTCTATCTTACTAGGCTGCCCTTTTTCTGGCCCTTTGGCTAGAGAGAGGAGACTTGTTGGGGCTTTTTTTTTTTAAGTCTGTATTTGTTGGTATTTCTGGGTTGACTTTGTCAACCCCAAATTGGGATATGAAGGGAAAAAAGAAAACCCAGGGCACTCATCATCATGTTGTTCCTTAGATCCTGAGGTCCCTAGCTGATTTGCCTTCTTCTCTTCACCTTTGAGAGTCTTCTTATGTTTGTCTTACTTATAATGTCCAGGGTTTTTAGTTGTACTTAGCAGGAGGAATAGGGAAATATGTATCCCCTCCATCTTCTCAGAAGTGGAAGTGCTTTGCCCATTTTTAAATTGGGTTATTTGTCATTTTTATTACTGAGTTGTAAGAGTTCTTTATATATTTTGGATACAAATCCCTTATCAGATAAATGATTTGCAGGTTTTCTCCCATTGTTCGGGTTGCCTTTTCACTGTCTTGAATGGTGTCCTTTGAAGCACAGAAGTTTTTAATTTTGATGAAATCCAATGAAGTCCAATTTATCTATTTTTAATTTTGTTGCTTGTGCTTTTGAGTCATATTTAAGAAGGCTTTGCTAACCCAAGGTCTTGAAAAATTACCAGCATATTTTTTCTGAGAGTTCTATAGTTTAAGCTGTCACATTTAGGTCTATGATATATTTGGAGTAATTTTTGTGAATGGTGTAAGGAAGGGGTCCAGTTTCATTCTTTTTCATGTCGATATCCAGTTGCCCCAGCACCATTTCTTGGAAGTCTATTCTTCTAGTTGTCTTGGTCCCTTTGTTGAAAATCAATTGACTATAAATATGGGGATTTATTTCTGGACTCTCAATTCTATTCCATTGATCTATATATCTATCCTTGTACCAGGGCCACACTATCTTGATTACTGTAGCCTTATAGTAAGTTTTGAAATAGGGAGTATGAGTTCTACAACTTTATTTTTTTCAAGATCATTTTAGCTATTCTGGGTGCCTTGAATTTACATATGAATTTTAGGATCAGTTTGTCAGCTGGCAAAAAATCCAGCTGGGATTCTGATAGGGATTGTGTTGAATCTGTAACTCACTTTGGAGAGTATTGCTATCTTAAGAGTTCTTTAGGTTTTATAGCTTCTTTAAAAAGGAAATTTGATGATTTTTATTTAAAACAATTTAAATAGGGTTACGCTTTAAATCAAACAAATTTTTATAGCGAATGTAACAGAAAGCTAAAATCTTCTAACTCAGCTGGAGTAAATGACTTATCAGGTTTCTGGCAACTCTGACAGAATATGATTTGATTAACTAGGCCCTTGGGAAGCCTGGCTGTTCAGACCAGGAATTCCAAGCCCACTTATGCCCTGGAAATCAATAGCCCCCAGCATCCGTCAGCTGTGTAGTCCCCTGGTCCTTCAGCTGAAGGAGAGCAGAGGGAGAGGCTTACATCCAGGGCCAGCATGACCCTTTGCCGCCCTGGCCAGGATCAGACTTACCACCCTGAGCTGGAAGAGTGGCTTGCGGTCGGAGGAGTTGGGTGGAAGGGCGAAGGTCTGGATGTCTATCACAGGCAAGAGGGTCACATTTCCAGGGGTGAACATCAGGAAAGGAGCTGATTCAGGTGATGTCTCAAACTCTAGCTGCATATTTGGGTACAACTTGGCCAGCTGAAGAAAGAGGGCAGAAACTCAAAGGAGGGCAGGAGACAGACAGAGGGACCCTTAGCTATACTGGGGATATGCCAGATGGGCAGAACTCCAAGGCTCAAATCTCCGAGGGCCCTAAACCAGCAGTGGAAATATCACAGGATTTTAATAGGCAGCTGTTGTGGTTGGAAAGAGCACTTTGATAAAGTGATAAAGGGGATGGGTGAGACAGCCCAATGGGCTTGCTCCCATGACAGCAGATGGTCGCCATACTTCCTGCTGTGCAGTCCAGCCTGTGTTGACTAGCGTGCAAGTTTGAGGCCAGAGCTGAATTGTCTGGTTGAAGAGAGGAGACGCTGAGTGCCTTCTCCACTCTGCTCCTGCCACTTGTCAGCTAGACTCTACATAAACATCAAACACATATTGATTATTGGCCTAGCCCCAAATTATTAGCCTGCCCAACATGGCCCCGTTTGTGTCCTGGAAGGAAGCTGTGTATTTGTGCTGGTTGAGTTCTGTTGTCTCCCATTTGATCCTCCCTGCAACCCAGTGGGGCAGGTACTATTGTCCATATGGCAAATGAGGAAAGTGAAGACCAATGAGATTGAGTTCCCAAGAGAGAAAACAGAAGACCCCCGATTCAAACCCAGCCAATCTGAATCCACATTCTGCGTCTTTATGCCACAAGGAGTCAGAAATGATGGGAATTTTGTACAAAAAAAATTAATTTAGTAACTTTTATCCTTCCCCACTGCTCTAATAGGTAAGGTGTCTGCCTGGAGAAAGTTGATGCACAGCTCATCCATGTCCAAATGCCGTCTCCACATGTGGCTGAGGACAAGGGCTTGTGGTGAGTGGGCAGAGGCTTACCTGAGGAATCAGGGCCCGGAATGAGTTGGTGTTCAGGGCGATGGAAGAGTCCAGGGGGATCTGCAGCAGGAGAAGTAGGAAGCTACTCGCGAAGCAGGACACAGTAGCAGTCAGGGATGTGGACTTTGAGGTCTGACAGCTTGAGTTCGAGTACTGCTTCCGCCACTTTTTAGCTGACTCATTGTTGGCCAGCTTTGTCAGGCTCTTCAGCTGTAAAATGGGGATGGTAATAATAGCACTTATGGTCCAGGGTGTGAGAGGATTAAATGAGATACATGGGTCAAGCGCCAAGTGTGGTGCCTGGAACATGGTAAGTACTTAATGAATGTCTGTTATTGTTATTTATTATTTCTCAGGATGCTCCCCCAAAGGGCCAATGAGAGCCGAGAGCCTCCGCAATCTGGATTTAACGTGCTTCCAGAGATGGCTTCACCCAGACTCCTTTGCCAGCAGTCTCTCATGGTGCCATTCTCTACCCACCCCTAGGACTTGCTCGTCTTTCAGATGGTGAGCCCTGCTGACACCTGTTCAAAGCCCACCTTCCTCCTTCTCTCCTCCTCAGGATCCCCACTCTTTACCTGGGCTGCTCCTATAGCACTTGTCATAGTGCTCGGCTATGGAGGGGCGCCGCTCAGACCTGCCTGCAAGGGGATCAGCTGCGAGGAGGGCAGTTGGCTCACGGCCCCCTGCCACCTCCCATTCGGGCCCCACTCCATTCACGCTGGCAGCCCCCAGCCCCCGACTGAGCAGGGCAGGGGCAGTGGAGCTGGAGAATTTTGTCAGATCGCTGCTGGGATTCCAGGTGGTCAATTAAGACAATGAGCAAACTGAAAGTCACAATTAAGCCTTTATTCACTTACTGCCGTAGCACAAGCAAGAGGCTTGACTGGAAAGGGCGCTGCCCCCCAGTGTCCCATTTTTCCTGGTGACATGGCACCTGCGAGGGGCAGATGGGGGATCATTTATTGCCAAGGGGGCCCTGAACAAAAGGTTCTTGCTGTTTTATGGGCCCAGGGGTTGAGGGGGCAGAGAAAGGGAGAGGCCAGGAGTGGAAAAGCACTGAGTACCACGCCAGACTGGAGAAGACTGTCTTCAAGGCCCCCAGTGAGGGATGTCAGCAGAGGCACCTGGACATGTCTCAGCTGAGGCTCCCGCCTCCCCATCCATAAGGAGGCTTCTGAACGGAGGTGTCTAGCTAGGAACGCGGATACGCATAAGAGCACGGCCATCCCAGGGGTGGCTGGGGGGCTGGGCCTGAGCCCCTGGCTGCATCTCCCGCAGAGGCTGTCAAGCCCTGCCATGCACCAAGCCTGGTCCGGCGAGACTGCCAGGGAAGCTTTGTAACTGCTCGTGGTCGGCTCTGAAAGACCACACGCAGGCTTGTAGCCTGGAGGGGTCTTCTCCAATCTCCGCCTGACATGGCCCTGCTCTAATAAGCAGGCTTTGCTCTGGGGCTCCCTGTCAGCTCGCCTGAGACTTTCTCGGAGCTACGCAGGAGCACTTCTCCGACCGCGCCTGCCTTCCTGCCCTCTCTCCCTTCCCGCGCAGCAGCCCTGCATCACAGTCTGAGGGCCCGCCCCAGCTTTCCTCCTTCTCTCCTTTACACATCAGGGGTGTTTCCTAATAAATCTCTTACAAGTCTAGTGTCGTCTTGGCATCCACTGCTCAGAGGACCTGATATGACCAGACACCAGAGTCTGTCTTACTTTTTAAAGTACTGCTAATAACAGCTAATATGTATTATGTGTCACTGAGTTCTACAATCTCTCATACAATCCCTGGGGAATAGGCACGATTGGGGTCCACGTGCACAGACAGGGAAACTGAGGTACAGCTTGGATTTGAACCCATGTTTGACAGACTCCAAATTCCACCTTTTCCTCTGTCTCCTTAGAGCACACAGCGGGTCTACAGTCCCACATGCCGCTTTCTCCTGGCACCTCCAGCCCCCTCCCCTCCCCGACTCACGTGCTCATTTTGGATGATGAACTTCATGTGCCCAGCCTGGTGGTAAACCCTACTGGCCGTGTTGAAGACGAAATCAGAGACTGCAAAGTAGATCATGCGGTCATGCTCCTGGGGCAGCCTGATGGGCGGAGCATCGAAGGGGACTGGAGAGTGCCAGCTTCGGCCAAAGAACTCACCCTGGAGACAGAAGGACCTATCAGTCACCCAAGGTTCCTCGAGAGACGGTGTCAGGCAGAGGCGTCCAGAGCTCGCCTGGGGGAGGCCGCCTGTGCCCGGGCCGGTGGCTGGGTTGGTGGTTCTTCTCTAGGATGCGGGGCCAGGGATCCTGAAAGATTCCTTTTGGCCAACAACATCTAGGCCCTGACAGCTTCCTGAAATCCCCCATTATAGTCGTCTCTGTGGATGGGGAGGTGCGTCCTCTGTCTCCCAGGCTCAGGGCGCAGGAGAGGAAGCCCAGCCCGGGGGGTGAAAAGCATGGACTCCGGAGCCTAACTGTACGGGTTTGAATCCTGGTCTGCCACTTCCTAGCTCTGGGACCGTGGGCAAGTCGCCAACTTCCTTGTGCCTCAATTTTCTCACCTGTAAAATGGGGATGATGCTAATGGTTTCTACTTCAGAGAGGAGGTATGACATTTAAATAGGTTAATATTTGTACAAATACTCAGAACAGCGTCTGGCACAGAGTAAGAGCATATAAGCACTAGTTAAATAAAATTGGAGGAAAGTAGCGCTCCAGGGCCTGGCTTAACCCACAGGAGAGTTGTGGAAGAGAGGAATCAAGAGGGGGTGTACTGGTCTCCCATTGCTGCTGTTAGAAATAACCATAACCTCAGTGGCTTAGAACAACACAGAGTTATTTTCTTCCATTTCTGGAGGCCCTTTGGGGGCTTCAAGGGCAAATCTGCTTCCTGCCATCTGCATACCTTGGCTCGTGGCCCCTTCCTCACGTCACCCTCACCTCTTGCTTCGCTGCAGCCTCTTGCTTCCGTGGTCACACTGCTCTGCCCCTTATCTCCTGCTGCCCTTTTATAAGGAGCCCTGTGATTGCAATGAGCCTAGCAGGATAATCCCGGACAATCTTGCCATCTCAAGATCCTTAATTTAACCAAATTTGCAAAGTCCCTTTTGCCTTATAAGGTAACATTTACAGATCCCTAGGATTAGGACATGGACATTTTAGGGAGCCATCCTTCAGTCTACTATAGGGGGTGAGACAGGTAGTAATAACAGTGCCACCTCATACGTGTACTATGTGCCAGGCACTTGCTGAGCACTTTATACACATCTCACTTAATTCCTACAGCAACTTTACCAGGTAAGACTATTATTATTCCAATTCAATAGAGGCTCAGAGAGGTTAAGTAATTCTCCCAAGTTTCCCCAGCACTTAAGTGGTAGAGCCAGGATTTGAGCTCATGGCTTCTAGACTCCTGACAGATTTACCACGTTGGCTCAGAGATCCTGTCTGAGGTGTTGCTCTGCAGTGCTAAGTACCACAAATGCCCACTGAGGGCACTGGCCAGGGCTGTGGACTGACAGGCAGATGGACTGGAGAAGGAGGGCAGAAGCTGACTCTGGGAGATAGAGTTGATTTTCTGCCAACCCTCAGCTCTACAGCCCTTTTGCCACAGCCCCTTACCTTGAAGGGTGTGTCCAGGCATTGGGAGGTCACCTGGGGAGCTCCTACTAAGCTGTAGTCAATGCCAGCTACCTGGTCAATCATCGAGGTGACTATGGAATAGGAAAGAGACAGCATTATGAACAGGGTGGCCAAACACAGTTGTACCAGCTGTGTACTGCATAACTCCAGGGAGCTCCTTTCACATGAACTGTAGCCTTTGGAGAATGGAAATGGGGCTGGGACTGATCCATGCTACCTTCCGTCACAAAGAGAGTTTATCCACTCATTCATTCATGCAACATTTATTGAGCCCCTGCTATATGCCAGGCGCAGTGCAATGGGCTGATAACATTCTGAGTGAGATAGTCAAAGTCCCTGTCCTCATGGGGCTGACAGTCCAGAGGGGGAAAAAACAGTCAAATACTTGAGAAAATAAGTACAAAATTGCAACTCTGTTAGCGTAAGTCTGTAGGATGATGCCAGCCATAGAACAGGGGCAGAGTCGGGGGAGGGAACTTGATTTGGACAGGGACGCAGACGAGGGGTTGCCTGGGCTGAGATCTGAAGGAGGAGTAGATGGTGATTGGGCGAAGGGGGGGTGGATGTGGGGGAAGGACATTCCTGGCCGAGGGAACAACATGTGCGAAGATCTTGCAGCAGTGAGGAGCATGGCACAGCAGAGGAACTAACCAGGGACCAGAGTGGCTGGCCGAGTTGCCCCCAAGAGGAAGCTGGGGACAGCAGTGTGGTGCGGTGGTCAGGGTCAGACCACACAAGGCCTTGGCACCCACAGCTGGGCTCGGTATTCTGAGGAGTCTTCGATGAGTTTCAAGGAGAGGGGGAGGCCTGACCTGATGTGAGACTGTGAAAGGGCCCCATGGCAGCCAGAGGGGCAGGGCCGGAGGGCCCCCAGCTCCACACAGGGGGCTCAGAGCACCCGTGTTTTGTTAAAGCCGGCAGTCTGGAGCCAACACACTGGACGCTCTGCCATCCCCTGCCCACCGCGAGCTCCCAGCAGCTTTCTGAGTCAGCGCCCTGCAGTGCCTTACTCCCCCTCCAGAGAGCAGACCCCAAGAGAGGAGTCAGCCCATGTCCAGCTCTAGGATGGAGAGATGCTCCATGGGGAAAATTCTTTCAGGGCTCTCGGGAGACCATGGTGATGGTGCCAGCGGTCCTGGGTACCAGGGCATCTTTCTGCACCCAGAGGAGGGAGAGGGGCTCCAAACCTGGCAGAGTTCGGAGGTAGGGCTCCAGGCGTGAGGTCGTCGACATCCTCACCATTTCACAGATCTGCCGAAAGTGGGTGAGAAAGCCAGGTGAGTCCTCCTCCGCCTCTCTCCTTGGCAATGCCCCCACCCCCATCCCCACCATCACTCCAGGAACCTGGGTTATATTCCCCCCACCCCCCAGTGGAGGTAGGTGTGTGAGGGGAGGGAGAGTATGGTGAAAAGGGAGAAGAGACCACAATCCCATCAACACACAGCACTTGGTCACTGTCCCATCTGGACTGGCCTCTCACACAGGTGGGCCCTGCTTAGGTTCCTAGACTTTTCTGGAATCCACATTAAAAGTGGATGGTGGTCAATCGGCACTGCCGTAGGGTCTGCTATTGTCATGGTCCTCAGTTCAATGTCTCAGTGGCTCAGTGGCAGGTGGTGTATTTATTAAAGAGCAGAGGGGACAAAGCAGAAGAGCGTCTAGGTGCAGGAGGCAGGTCGTGAATCGGCGGCTCCACCCCACCATCCTCAGTCCCTTTGTGTCCGTCCTCTTCCTGCTTGGGTTCCTTGCTGCCTGGGAATGAGGGATCTGTAAAGAGCGTGGTGCCTGGTCTGCAGCAGTACCGATTAGGGCCACCAGAGGGCCCCAAAGCAGAGCCACAAGGGGGGTCCCCGGGAATTTCCTTCCTCTGTCAGCCACCAGCCTAGTCCCCCATAAATCAAGAATTCTAGACTCTTGGTGGTGAACATGAATGCAGTCCATATAGAAAATGAAACATAATAATGTACAACTGAAATTTACGCAATGTTATAAACCAATGTGACCTCGATAAAATAATATAAAGTAAAAAAAAAAAAAAAAAAAAAAAAAAAAGGAATTCCAGCTGGGGAGATCTCAGAAGCCCCTAGTCCACGATTTCCTGACTTCAGCTGTTCCTATGACTTTGCCTTTCTCATCTATTAATAGACTTAAAATTTTCTTTATGCCAAGTGGCCTTTTAAAAATTACATGTGTTTAGCAAAAAATACAGAAACTTTATATCACTCCTGTCAATGGGAAACTGGTATCCCTTGGCATAAACAGAAAGTGACTGGGAAAAAGAATACGAGGAATTGGAAAAATGCTCTGGAAGTCTGGCTAGACACTGTTGTCTAGTTGGATAATGCCCCCTTTCTGTGAAACAAAAGTGTTCAGGATACATTGGCCCCAAACTGCTTCCCCTTTGATGTGAGAAGAGAGAAAAAGGACTGACAGGGAATCACTTGTTCGCTCCATCATCCTGCATGACGTAATACTGACACTTTGCATCACTTAAAATCAACTCTCCTTTGGGGGAAGTTTCTCACTTTGGGAACCGTTGTTTTGTTCAAACTCCAAGGCAGCCTGGGTCAGGTGGGCCCGACCTGGCCTCTCCTGGACCACAGAGGAAGAGCAGCACTACCCAGGCAGCCAGCCCTTCTGGGGCCTGAATCTGCCCACCCCAGGTCCTTTGGTCAGAGGTCCTCTTTCTGCAGAGCCACTCAGGGCTTTGCACTCACGGCTCCGTGGAGGCCAAAGTCATTGACCACATCCTCTGAAACTGTCCATTCCTTGGGCTCAGCCTCTCTGGCATCAGCCCCATTCTCCTTTGGACACATGTCTCTGGCCTCAGCACAGGGCTATTGGGCAATGAAAATAACCTAGCCCCATTTACCCAGCTCTTCCTCTGTACCAGTTGATGCCTGTGTATATGACATAATGGTATATACACCATATGGTATATATGTCATATGTGTATATGTCATATGGTCCTCACAACAACCCTGCAAGGTAGATGCTATGATTACTCCTATTTTATAGACAAGAATCCTAAGCCTCAGAGAGGTTAAGTCAGTTAACTGAGGCCTCAGAGCCAGCAAAGTGGCAGAGCTGGGGCTTAATCCTAAAGTGTCTGATTGCAGAGCTCATGCACTCAACAGGGAAGACTCAAGGAGGCAAAATCCAGGTGGGAAATGACACTGAAACAGTAATGATAGTGACTGCTCTGAATACCCGCTGTATACCAGGCCCTCTATGTTATCTAATCAAATCCTCGCCAACACCCTTCAAGGTGGGGGTCATTGTCCCCATTTTACAAATGAGGAGACAGAGGCTCTGAGGGAATCCATCAAGTTGCCCAAAGATACACAGAGGGGAAATGGAAAAGCCACCTCTTTGCCTTCAAGACCAGGGCTTTTTCCAGACATGAGAGATCCTGACAGCCAACCCCACGACTGTTCTCAATATAGTGCATTTGGGGGGCAGGGGGAATCTGATTATTTAAGAAACATTTTCTTCTCCTCAAGGTGAGAAAGATATCCTAGATTTTCTCCTAAAAAGTTTTAGATTTGTTTTGGTATTTAAATCCTTAGAACACCTGGAGTAGATTTTTGTGTATGGTGTGAGGGAGGGGTCCAAAGTCACTTCTCCATATCTCCTTAATATTACCTACAACTAGATATCAAACACTGTGTCAGTTCCAAATGTCAGTTCAGCATATGTGGTCACACAAACTGGAGAAAGCCTTGAGGTTTGCCTTTGCACCATGAATGAGGAAGGTTTTGCTAAGCAAATTCAAATGACAACATACTTAAGAGACAAGGCTGTTGTCCAAATCTCAAATACGTACATGCCAAAGATCCTTGTGTTAACTACGGATCTGATGATTCTTTTGTTTACCTTTTGTTCCAAGATATTTTTGAAATAGATTTCCATAATTCCATGGAAGAAGTTCTGGATCCGGCTGTAGAAAAGAGGAAAGAGGGTCAGGACCCACTTTATGATTAACTGAGACTCCCAAGAGGAGGGCTATCCATGAATCTGACCTTTCCTCATGTTATCCCAAGAAGGGACCAAGCCATTCAAATTTAATCCAAGGGAGGGTGACCCATTGTATTCTCCTGAATCAGAAATGTAAGTGGGAGTAGCCTAGTTAGGGTTGGGGTGTTAACTATGGACATCGCTGATTTTAACTTCTCCAGCAGCCTTTCCTTCCTTCAAACCCACTTCTCCATTTCCAGTCCTTGTGGTTCAGTGGGACTAACCCTACTCCTACTCCCAGGTCTAAGGGTGGGTCCTAGACCTTGGCTCAGCCGATAAGAGTCCATAATGCTTGGTCCAGGGATGGGCATGTGACCCCACATTGGCCAATGAGAGCTTTTCCCAGCCCCTGCCCCCTCCCATGTTGTATGGGAAGGCTGTTCCCACTTGCTGAGTTGGCAGCACTAATGGCCAGGGAAGCCTGGAGCTGCTTGCCACCATCTTTGCCACTCTAAGGATGGAGGACCCTGCCTGAGAAAGAAGCAGACCTAAGGGACAGAGAGATTCCTGGTGACATGGGTCAAACTCCTGGATCCAGACACAGCTTTGGATTCATTCCATGGAGTTTTCAGGCATATGTGAGCCAGTCAAGTCCATTCTTAAGGCTGAAATGTCTGAGTTGAATTTGTTTTTTATTTTTTTTTAATATTTTATTTTTTCCTCTTTCTCCCCAAAGCCCCCCGGTACATAGTTATATATTCTTTGTTGTGGGTCCTTCTAGTTGTGGCATGTGGGACGCTGCCTCAGCGTGGTTTGATGAGCAGTGCCATGTCCGCGTCCAGGATTCGAACCAACGAAACACTGGGCCGCCTGCAGCGGAGCGCGCGAACTTAACCACTCGGCCACGGGGCCAGCCCCTGAGTTGAATTTTTGTAACTTGCAACTTAAAGGAGGCTGGCGAATTTAGAGGTCAGAAGTCTTGAGGGCTTGTTTGGGAAGGAGGAAAAGGTGGACAGAGAGGATAGGAATAGATATGAACAGACTGTGCAGAAAAAATGAAGTATGTGACGCAAATACATATAAAGATGCTCAACATTACAACAAGATAAACACTGATTAAAACCAAGATACCCTCAGCTTTCAGAGTGGCAAAAAGCTAAACCTTTGGTAACACACCGTGTTGGTGACAGTGAGAGGAAACAGACGCTTTCACACCCTGCTAGTGGGAGCAGAAACTGCAAACCCCTGGAGGGCAGTTTGTTGGTATGTATTAAAATCACAAACTGCACACACGACTTTAAGAATTCAGCCTGTAATTCATTTGCCCAGGTGCAAAACGATACTATGCACGAGGTTATCCTTCGCAGCACCGTTTGCAGCAGCCCAAGACTGGAAGAAAATACTCCAACGAAAAGTCTATCAACAGACGCCTAATTATATACGTTTTAGTGTCTTCATATAATGGGATCCTTTAAAAAGGAAACTCATGTGTTCTGATGTGGAAGGGCTCATAAATACATTGGTAGTTGAGAACACCCAGAGAAATAATAGTGAATATAGCACGCTGCCACATGAGTAAAAAATAAAAGAGAAAAATATCCAAGTGTGCGGGCATAGACTTGCTCAGGAAGGATACGTGAGAAACTGTTAACGTTGGCTGCTTCCACCAAGGAGAACTGGCAGGGGGGGCGACCAGAGTGGAGAGGGATTTTTTTCATTCTGTTCCCTTTTGCACTTTTTGAATTTTGAACTATGCAGATGAATTACCCACTCGAAAACATTTAAATTTCTTTAAGGTATAAGAAGGGGAATAAAGGCCTATTCTTTTTTTTTTTTTGAGGAAGATTAGCCCTCAGCTAACTGCTGCCAATCCTCCTCTTTTTGCTGAGGAAGACTGGCCCTGAGCTAACATCCATGCCCATCTTCCTCTACTTTATTTGTGGGACGCCTACCACAGTATGGCGTGCCAAGTGGTGCCATGTCCACACCCGGGACCCAAACCGGTGATCCCCGGGCTGCCCAAGCAGAACGTGCGAACTTAATTGCTGCGCCACCAGGCCGGCCCCAAGGCCTATTCTTTATACCCTCCAAAGTCCACCAAACAACTTACCTGGAAGTTTAGCAATTAGTCACTCACTCACTCATTCATTCAACAAACATTTACTGAGCCCCTCCTACGGGTCAAGCACTGAGTTAGCTGCTGAGGGGTCTCTGGGGGGTAACCTCATGGAGCTCACAATGTGAGTCTAACCCCTTCAGGTGGAGCTGCCCGCAGAGAACCTCTCCCAGCCACAGCCCCCGCTCCGTGAGAATGTGGCTCATAACAGGGCCTTCCACCCTGTGTTCTCGCCTGGGGGGTCACCGTGAGAGGTGGCGGGAAATCAGTGAACTAAGCTGGTGGAATTACTTCCAGGAAAATATTTTCTCCCATAAAGTTTTCTTTGCCATTCAATGCTTGCTGATTGAAAGATTGGTGATGCAGATTATGAATGTGTGTGCCATAAATTCATGAGGGAATTTCAGACACAAGCGCTTCCTGGGGTTCTGCAGAAAGCATCCTGAACTTTCTGGGGCTCTGTCCCCTGAGATAGCCTGGGACTCATAGTTCAGCTGAACCTTGGCCCCTGGGTGGGCCTGAGGGACACTGGCTGTAGAGACCATGGCTGAGGGCCTGACACCTGTGGTTGGGATGCCGCTTCCAGAAAAGCTTGCCCCCTCCGACATCTATGGGTACCCCTCCAACAACGAGTCAAGGTCTAAAGACTGAAGCAGTAAGAGACTTTCCGTGGGTCACAGACTGCACAAAGTTAGCCTGGACTTTTCCTCCTCTTGTTGCCCAAATTCAATCCCACCTCCTAAATACGCCTAGGAGCATCCTTTCCCCACCTCCGCTGCCACTGGCTGCCGGGGGCATCATCGTCTCTCCTCTGGACATCTGCCTCTGCCTCCTCTCCGCCTCCCTCTGTCCAATCTGCCCTCTTTAATCTCTTCTAAAGGAAGTGATCTTTCAAAAAAGCAAGTCTGATTATATCACTGCCCTTCTTAAAATTCTCCAAAGGCTTCCCACTGCCTAACTTTAAAACAAAGACTAGAGTTTGGCTCCTGCTCACTCCCTTCAATTCTTCTAATTACTTACTTCTCCTCCAGGTACACTGACCTTCTTTTACCCTCCGGAAAGCACAGGCTTTTTTATGCCTCAGGATCTTTGCACATGCTTCTCCTTTTGCTAGAAAAACTCTCTCCTCCTCCCCGTTTGCTAGAATTCAAGGCTAGTTTCAGATATCATTTCCTTGAAGACACTGTCCCTGCTCCAAGGCTAGGTAAGTCCCTAGAGAGTGCCACTCACCCTGGAGACTGCCATCATTCATTGAGATTCCCCGAGCATCCCCTCCAGGCCAGTCACTGTGGTATGCTGGGTTGCCATTAAAGACAATCTTGCCCACGAGTAAGCGAACTTTTTCTTAAAGAGCCAGAAAGTAAATGATTTTGGCCTTGCACGCCATATGGTCTCTGTCGCAACTACTCAACAGGGCTGTCGTAGTGCTGGAGCAGCCGGAGACAAAATGTAAGCGAATGAGCGTGGCTGTGCGCTAGTGGGACTGTATTTACAGAAACAGACGGTAGCTGGATGTGGCCTGCAGGCCTCAGTTCACTAACCTCTGATCTTGATGGATTTTAAATCTTGCCCTTATGCCCCATCAGGGACGTCCCCTGGGTGATCTGGATGCCGAAGCAGCTCTGACAATCCCCAGCAAGTGTATGGGGCCACTTACCTTAGGGGTCCAGAGATGTTAATGTCGATGCCATCAATGGAGCTGTCACAGTGGGCCACAGAGGCAGTGGGTCGTCCAGACGGGTCCTTGCCCAAGTTCAAGGAAACTGAGATGGAAATGCCATCCACACTCAGACCAAAAGTACCATTTAGGATGCTGGTTGGGAGAAAAGAGAAGCAGATGGTGTATAACCAGTCACCTCCAGGAAGAGGAGCCAGAAGAACGCAGACTCAGATCTGCCTTCCGGTTCCCCACTGACCAGCTGTGTCCTGTCTCAGCCTCAACTTACCATTAGCGCAAATAGCCAGTGTTTATTGAGTATTTGCTATGTAAATACTATCTGCTAAATGCCTTGCAGCTGCTATTTTATTAAATCCACAGCTGCATCCGTGAAGTGGGTTATTATTAGCCCATTTTACAGATAATAAAACTGAGGATTAGGGATAGTCAGATCTGGGTCCTTTATAGACTGGGCATTTAAGAACCCAGAAAGCCTGGGGTGGGAGGACAAGCCCTTGCCCAAAGCTGAGAGACATTCCAAGCCAAGGACTACTCACACGAAAGCCGTCCTCACCTTCCAGCTCCCGCTGACAGACACGTAGTTATTGAAGAGGGAGGCGCGGACACCCCGCCCTGGGCGAAGACTGAGATCCGAGTTCCTGAGCTCCAAGCTCTGGATCCTCAGGCTGGGCGAGGAAGGCAGACCATCAAACCCAGACAAACCAGGGGCACACCAGTCCTCTGAATGAGTCCCCTCCCACGTGTCACAGTCTCTTTCGAATGTATTGACCTAAACCACCCAGGACGAACAGACCATCGCCTTCACATGCTTCAAGGTCTGATCAGACTGCCTCCTCCAGGAAGACTTCCCCAGCCTTCCAAGGCCGAAGACCTTCCTCTCGCCTTTGACACCCACCCGCATTCGCTGCTCCTGTCCATCCTGCTCACTCCACCTTCAACATCGAGAGGACCCTGTGAGCTGGCTGTGCATTGTGTCCTGTCCCCGCAGCTGGGGCCAGGGCTCCTCCAGGAACCAGCTTCCCCTCTGGGCTCCCCACGCTTCAGATACAAATAAGGGCTCACGATATAGATAGGAGATCACCCGCTGGTCACCTGTGGGTCATATTTATGATACATAGACTATAGATATGCTTTTCTTTTCCTACAGCATTTAAAAAAATTTGAATCAGTTGCCAACATTTTAAAATTGGGGAATTTCACCCTAAAAATGTGAAGGAAAAAAGACCTAAATTTCTGGCTTCTCTTGAAAAAATCAAAAGACAATACTCATGTTCCCTTACAGCATCAATCAACTGCAGGTGAGTAGCTGCCTCCTTTAAATGGGGCAGGTGCCCTCCAGGTAAACATCGCGCTGGTCATTCTCGCATTTGCTCTCAGGTCCATTCCCTGCCATTCCCTTGCTCTGACCTATGTTGGATGGGACTGCCCTGTACAAACTACATTTCCCAGGATCCTTTGCCACTGGCTTCTAGTTAGGATTGGCCAATGGGAAGCACTGGGGGGAGATGAGTGAATAGGAAAAGGGGAGAAGACAGGGGATGCCTCAGATTGTGTCTTTGACAGTGGCTCCATTTCTGTGTTGGGACCAGCTCCTGCCAGACAACCCCTTCTTTTATGATCCTAGCTGCCACCCTGGAGGGACCCTGGCTCCTGTGGTCTGTTGACCCCTCATCCCTTTCTTACCTCTCCAGCTCTAGGGATGTTAGAGACTCTTCGTTGTTACTAATTTTTGGGTTGCTTCGCCACTCCCTCTTTTGCTTTTCAGTTCTTCTAACACCTTTGAAGCAAATTCCCTATATTAAATCCCCTCCATTGGTGTTCCTGGTGTGGGTTCTGCTTTCTTGGCTGGTCCCTGATGGACCAGTATGCTCATCTACGTTACCCACTCCCTTGTGACCATTTGGGTTTGTGGCTCTTGTCAGATCCACTCTCATTACTTCACTCAACATTCACTGAGATCCTGCTCTGTCAGACCTGGTTCTAGGCACAGAGGCGACAGAGATTCAAAACTCAGTCCCTCCCCTTGAGGAGTTCACAGTTGGTGGCAAATCTGGATGTGTTAACAGACCACAGGAACCTGCTGTGAAAAATAGGTGCAAGGGGTGCTCTAAGGCTGTGGGGAGGCATTGCCCTCTAGGAGGCGTGGCCTGGATATCTGTGTGTGTGTGTGTGTGTGTGTGTGTGTGTTCAAATTTAAAACAGCTCTTCTTTGACTACTGACTTCAGGAAATTGTCTGAGATTTGGAAAGGATTCCAAGAAGCAGCCTTTTCTATCAGTGATAGATAATTCATCCCCAGTGACCTATTCTGGACACTGAGGAGGCCGGAAGGAAAATCCATGCAACTAAAGAATGGACGAAAAAAGAGTAAGGGGTGAGGGCTTTAAGACTGAATGTGTACAAGCTGGAGGGAGATTAAGATCAGTTAAGTCTTATGGGGAGGGTGACGAGGACCAGGGCTTGTCACCAGGAACCAGGAGGTCCTCTGCTTTATTCCTCACTGGGGATATGTGTGGATGCTACCCTCAAGGGGTATTCTGCAAATAAAATGTGACTAGGTTCCAGAAAGACTTAAAGTCCTGGATTACAGACCCTTACCATGTTCTGGAGGGATGGATGGTATGTCTCAAGCAGGTCCCTAATCTGGGCAATTAAGAGAGTAGCCAGGAGTCCTTGGCAGAGCAAAAATCCAGGGATAGTCTCTGCAGGACTGATGTAGGGGCTGGTGAATCATTTCTAAGTGTCTCCCTCCCATCCTGATGATTCAAGAAACACATAGAACCTTCCAGAAAACCCCACAAGAGCTGGTCATGATCCCTCTGCCATTAGTCCAAGTGATGGTCCCAAGTTTATGGCCCTCCCCCATGACCCCAGGCCCCCATTCTTCCTCCTCTGCTGCCCCTGTGGTAGAGAACAGAGACCTCACCCGTTAGACTCGTAGCTCACTCTTCCAAACCAACCGACTTGGAAGCTTCCTAAGAAATCAGGGACCTCGATGGCGGACAGCTCCTTCTGCAGGGCGGCTGCTACATGTTCGTGGACTGCAGGCAAACAGAGGGAGTCAGCTCGTTCAGTGGAACGTAACTAAGTGTAACCGTTGAGTGGCTGGGCTTTGTGATAACGTGAACTGGGATCGAATGCAGGATTTGCCACTTAGTATTGATAGAATCCCAAGCAAACCTCTTAAATTCCCTGAGCCTCAGTTCCCCCATCTGTAAAATGGTAATAATAATGGTGATGCCAACCGGAGCCTGAGAATTAAATTAGATCGTTAACTCAAAATGTCAGATAAATGGCAATCATTGTTATTTATTCATTCCCCAAGACCGTGGAAACGGTGGTGGAATACAGCGGGGCTTTTGAGGCATCATTTAGTTCAGTGTGGTCAAACCGTAGGGTTTCCACTATTGCTTGAGCCATATGTTAACAATGCAGGTTCCCAGGCCCAGCTTCGGTCAATCTTCAGTGGATCTCTAGAATCTGTATTTATTTGTTTGAGCAGTTCTCATGCAGGTGGTCTACAGACCACCCTGGGAAAAATGCCGATCTAGTCCTATCTTTAGCTTCTGATAGTTAAGATGAGGAAACCGAAGCCCAGGGGTGACATAGCCAAAGTTTCTAAGACAGGGAGTGGCAGAACCCGAGCCTGTCCTGGTTACCAAAGCACTCTGGTGGGCAACAATGGGCGCCATAGGAATGATCAAACCCCCTTACCATATTTCAGGCCTTTTCTGGTGATCCTGGCCACCAACCCAGGATTCGATGCCCCTTCTCCAAACATGGCGACCTCTGCCAGCAGCAGTAGGACCACTACCACACCGTATAGTCTGGCCATCATCACGTCCTCAGCTCCTTCCTGGGCAGAGTCTCTTTGTAAGAGCCCACCTTACTGAAGGTGACAGCAGAGGCTGAGATGCTTATAAATACAGGGGCCAGATGAGGAAATGAGCCAGCTGGGAGGAAGGGCGGGGAAGATTCAAGGTTTTGGGGCAGCCCAATTTCCAGCAACTTGAGATGGGGAGAAGGTTGCTTGTGAAGCCATTTGAGGTTTATTTCTGGTCTGAGAGTAGCGGAAGTGGTGCCACAAGCTCCAACCTCTTCTTCTTCCAAGCACTGGTACCCAAGGAGCCTCCTGACAACGCCGTTCTCTAGCCGAACACCCTCCATTCATCCCCTGTTGTCTGCAGACTGAACTCTCAGCACCCAGCCTGGCAGCGAAGGCCATCACAGCTTGGCTGCAATGAAGCTCTCCAACTGGACCTTCCACGGTCCGAGCCTGCCCGAGCCTGCCTGCACTGTGACTCTGCTGAAACCCGCTGTCCTCCACTCCCATCGTGCAAGACCATCTGGGGCCGGGCCACAACCACGACGAGTGGGTTCTGCAGCTCTACGCTCCAGATGCTTTCGGATTTTCTCTTGCCTATATTCTCTTAGTAAAGTCAATCAACTTTATTAAAGTATAATTTAGATGCAATAGAATGCACACATTTTAAGTACACAGTTCAATGAGCCTTAACACATGTAGACATCTGTGTAACCACATCGTAGTCAAGATAGAAAACACTTCCATCACCCCAAGAAGTTCCCTGGTACCTCTTCCCAATCTCCTTCCCCACCTCTCATCCCACAAAACCACTGATCTGCTTTTTGTTCCCATGGATTCATTTTGTCTGTTCTAGAACTTCATATAAATGGAATCATCCAGTATGTTCTTTTCCGACTGGCTGCTTTCATGCAGCATTGTGTTTTCGAGACTAATCCATGTTGTTTTGCATATCAACAATTCATTCCTTTTTATTGCTGAGTAGTATTCCACACAGTAGCTAGAACGATCCTTTTATTTGTATCGTATTTTTAATTTTCTTCAAATAGGAAATACATTTACATGGTTCAAACATCAAACAGTAATAAAAAGATGTATAGTGAAAAATCTTGCTCTCTTCCCTCGTTTGCATCTTCCCAGTTCCTCTCTCCTCCCCATCAAATTAACAAAAAATTCTCCTGGGATAAGTGCTAGGAGACATGGAAGGTACTTTGAGAGCTTACATTCTAGGGCTTATGGAAGCACAGAGAGGGAGCCATTAAGACAGTAGAGGTGCTCGAGCTTGGTTTTGAAGTATGTGTAGGAGTTTGGCAAACAGACACAGAGAGGGAAGTTATCCTAGGCAGAGAGGACAGCGTAAGCTAAGGCAAGGAAACCTGAGAGAGCACTGCACATTCTGGAAGGCACAAGGAATTGTGGGAGAGTAAGGGGTGAGGGCTGGGGATGGAGGAGAGAGTGGCGGAAGAGGAGACACAAACCCATCCTTGTTGAAGTACGAACATGGGATAGTTCTAATTTTCCAGTGAGAGATACTCCCTATGCTGTGTTAAAGTCTCCTTTTTCCCTGGAGAGGGGGCTCCCCTCATGACATCTCAGTCCTGATTCGAACGGTTCAGTCATGTTTGGTTTAATTTTGGACTTGGTCTTGTCCATGTAAAACCTCCATCTCGTCTTCTGCCTGATGTTTTCCCTCTCCCTGTGGAGGCTTCCTGAGGCTCCCCTGGCTTGGAGTAGGCAAGTCTGTGTGTGTGTGTGTGTGCGTGCATGTTGATGTGTGTGCGTGCATGTGTGTGTAGAGCTGGTCTTCTCTTTCAGGTACCCCTCCCCCTTCCCTGCTCTGTTCCTGTAAGGGAGAGGGAAGGGAAGCCACCTGGGGGAGCTGGAAGTTCTCTTTTTATCTCAGTGGTGATGAAGTGACCCTTGTTGAAGGTCGTCACCACTGACCAAACGATGTCTGACAGTTCAGGGTGGGTAAACAGAGGCCCCGTAAGCCCTGTCAACGAGGGACTCAATTCCAAGCAGCTGCTCTAGGCAAGGATCAGCCCTTGGGGGAATCCTCCTCTGCCTCCGGCCGCCATTTCACGTCCTCGACCCTGTGGCTAGAATTGAGTCCAGTTTTCCTCCTTTGGAAGATGGGATCCCAGGGAGGTGGTCCCTGCCTCTTCTTTGTCTGCCCTCAGCACCACTGCCTCCCTCATCAATGTTCTTTTCCGGCAAGCCCTGGGCTCAGCTGACAACCAGCTAAGGAAATGCGATGTCAGTCTCTGCTTGTTGCAGAGTCTCTACATTTCTGAGAGTGCTTCTGTTGGGGGCCCTTCTGCCTTGGCTTTGTTTAGGGGAAGCAGCCAAGAATCCTTCCCTCTCCCATAAGATGGTGTGGGGAAGGGATCGCCGAGAGTCTTTCTTTACAAACCCCAGGAAATGGTTTAATCAGCAGAGCGGTCAGCTCGGGTCTGGGCTCTACACAGAGGTCCAGCAGCAGGTGGAGGACAGAGATCCACATTAAGGATGCCCACAGTGTTGGACTCCAGAATGGTTTAGGGGATGGAACATTCTGCCTGTATCAGTTTGCTGGCTGCCGTAATGGGGTACCGCAAGCTGTGGGGCTTACGCAACAGAACTTTATTTTCTCGCAGTTCCAGAGGCTAGAGATCCGAGAGTGAGGTGTTGGCGGCATCAGTTCCTTCTCAGGGTTGTGAGGGAGAATCTGTTGCAGTCCTCTGCCCTCGCTTCTGGTGGTTTGTGGGCCATCTGTGGCATTCCTTGGCTTGTAAACGCATCACCCGAATTCTGCCTTCGTCTCCACATGGCGTTCTCCCTTTGTGCATGTCTGTCTCCAAATTTCCTCTTTCTATAAGGAATTCAGTCATATTGGATTAGAGGCCCACCCTAATAAACTATCTTAACTAATTACATCTGCAACGACCCTATTTCCAAAGAAGGCCACGTTCTGAAGTTCTGAGGGTAGGACTTCAATATAGGAACTTGAAGGGGACACAATTCAACCCACGGTGTCCCCTCAGCTGTAAGGAGTGAGGATGGCAGTTAAAGTCATGGCGGTGCTGAGATTTGAGTCAGGATCCTGTATAACTTTTCCTCCATAAGCCTGTATCCCATCCCCTAAATGGGCATAATATTACCCACCTTGCAGGGTTCTTGTGGGGATTACATAAGATAACGTTTAGGGATGTACTGAGTGCCTGGTACCTGCTGAGCCTGGACAGTTAGGTCATCTGGATCAGGGACCATCCCCTGAGCTGGACTCCTGGGATCTCACATTTGCTGGAAATGTGGAACCGCAGTAGAGAAAAACTCCCAATTATGGCTTTTACTCCTCCTTTGGCTGAAATTTGAGGTTAGGGCCAGGAAATTGGGAGCTCATGCTTTAGAACTCAAGGGTTAGAGCTCCTCAAAACCTCTGGGCTGAAAATGTGCCTTTGAGACATTTTTACAGGTGCTATCCTCTTCATCCGGCCCCCAGGGCTCTTGAACATGTTTGATTTAGTGTGTTCCCTTTGCCAGTTCATCCCAGGATTGGTCTCCCCACTGCCCTCTACCCCAATGCCTCTTCTCCCAAGGACAGGGAGCTAGCTCACTCCAATCTGTGAACACCATGGGTGTCCTAGCCTTGGCATTTTTTCTTCTCCTCCTGGGTGGGACCGTTTGACTTGTGTCTTGGGTCCACCCCAGGCCTGCACAGATCTTGACTTGCAACAAGGGTCCTTTGTCTGGCTCAATTCCATTCATCTGCTTCTTCCAGAACTGGGCTGAAACTCCAACTAGCCTGATTGAAAAGCATCTTCCTGGGCAATATCTGTACATGATAAAAAATGGTACATGTAGTACAAAAGCATGAAAATAACTCATCCTTCCAACCCTGTCCCCAGTCCTCCACCTCCCTTCCCCAGAGGCAGTATCTTTCTCATCCTTCCAGAAGCACTTTGTGACCACGGAAGCATGCATGGTAACCCAAGTTCTCTACATCTTGCTTTTTGCACTTAACAATAGAGCTTGGAGATGGTTTCATATCAACGAGCAGATCAGGCTCATTTATTTTAATGACTGTAGAGTATTCCATTATCTAGAGGTTCTCAATTTATTTAACCTGTCTTCTCTTGATGGACGTTTCGATTAGCTCTATTCTTGCCATGACAAATCACACTGCAAAGAATACCATTGTGTAAATGTATTTGTGTGCAGTGTGACTATGTCTGTGGGAATTATTCTTAGAAGCAAGTATTCTGGCTGGCGGCTTATTTGCATTGACAAGTTTTGCTAGGTTCTTGCTATGCTTCCTTCTAACAAGTTGAACTCTTTCACATCTGTCTCGTTCATTCTGGGAGGAGCTGGGAGCTTTGCCTCTGAAACTTGTGCCAGGAACTGAAACCCACTTCTCATTTGTAGCCCATCACATGTCTATTTCCCACGTGGACCACTTTTTTATAACTTTTTTTCCCCTTTAAAAAAATATTTGGTGCCATTCTGTCAAAAACACATGCTAAAATACATTTACCATAAGATAGTCTTCCTTATCTTATTTACAACTGTATATCTACCTCCCAGCACATATCTGACACATATTAGGCACTCAACCAATATTTCATAAATGAGTGAGTAAATGAATTAGTGAAGGGAGTCTGATGAACTTAAGACCTTGACTTTTCATCTCAGACTCAAGTGCTCAAAATGAAGAAACATTGTGTAGTAGACCCAGTTGGCTGCCTAACCCAAAGCCATTTTCCTGGGAGCAAAGCCTAGGTTTTGTTCATGTCCACTCCTCCTCCGTGTTCATCTAGTAAATTCTGACCTGTCTAAGTCCGTCAATACCATTCCCTTGCCAGTGATTAGCTTAGAAGAGGCATACGATCCAATTCTGGCCACTGATAGATGTAGAAGTCCCCTGAGGAAGGGGGACTGACTGTAAATAAACTGCCTGGGGAGACATAGCACCTCTTCTGCTGGAGGTTGTCATGTCAGTATGTGATACCTGGAACTGTGGCAGCCATCTTGGG